ATATGTTTCACTCAATATGCATCCGAAGAAGTGGGTTGTAGCCCACGAAAGCTTATGCTCTAATAAATTTGTTAGTCTCTAAGGTGCCACAAGTACTCCTGTTCTTTTTGCGGATACAGACTAACACGGCTGCTACTCTGAAACCTATAAACACACAGCAACACGTAAACAAAACAAAAAAATCCCTACCAAAACACCACACTGCACACACAATTCTCCCACTAGGGAGACAATCAGAGGGCGAATGAACCACACGTGACATGTTAGTCACATCACTTCATGCACTACTGGAAGGCACTCAGACTCTGCAGTGACGAGTGTGGTGTAAGAGCCGATGTAGAACAGAATATGGACAGCAAAATAATTTTAGTAGCTGTATCAGTCAATATAGTATATATGATCTCTCCTTCTTTACCAGACACATACCTGAATATCCATTGCAGAAGCTAAAGTTGGCTTAACGCTCCCCGAGAATGAGAAATCTCCATGCTGAATTGCCCTGTGCATAATATCGTTATTATTTACCACGGCGACGAGTTGGATTGGAAGTCCCATTTTCTGTGCAATATATCCAGCTAGGAAAGAAAAATTCAAAAACGTGGGCTTCAGCCCCGTGATGAAACACTCATAAAGCAGATTTACCAATGAAATCATTGCTCCTCCATTTGTGCAAATTTATCAGGAGAGGCCAAAACTTATGTTCCATAATGCAGTTCTATCTTTAATATACAGGTATAGCCCAAAGAAACTACAGCTCCCAGTATGCAATGCTCCATTTGAGCAACCTCACAGCAAGAGAGACCACTGCATGGTTGGTCCTGGAATCTCTGTGGACCCCACCATCATATTAAGAGATGTAGTGAAGAGAGGGGGCTCTGGAAGATACTTTTCATTCAAATGGGATGTGACCTTTGAACTCTTGCCAACATGCTAATGCAGCTTCAGATAGATGCCCCTGAAATATCATGAATGCAACTTTTTACATCACCCCTTGTATTGCTTTTCCAATAGATATGATTCCCCTAAAGTTAAAAACGCCAGAATTGTACAGTTAGGAGAGAGCTGTTACCATGATTGTCCCTGCCCCCTACCCCCCAAAAACAGGATAAAGTTCATGTGCAAATGGATGTATAATGAATCAAAGCTACACACAGGCCAGATTAACTGTACTACTACTGGACAAACTGGAGAAATGGTCTGAAGTAAATAGGATGAAATTCAATAAGGACAAATGCAAAGTACTCCACTTAGGAAGGAACAATCAGTTGCACACATACAAAATGGGAAATGACCGCCTAGGAAGGAGTACTGCAGAAAGGGATCTGGGGGTCATAGCGGACCATAAGCTAAATATGAGTCAACAGTGTAACACTGTTGCAAAAAAAGCAAACATCATTCTGGGATATATTAGCAGGAGTGTTGTAAGTAAGACACAAGAAGTAATTCTTCCACTCTACTCCACACTGATTAGGCCACAACTGGAGTATTCTGTCCAGTTCTGGGTGCAACATTTCAGGAAAGATGTGGACAAATTGGAGAAAATCCAGAGAAGAGCAACAAAAATGATTAAAGGACTAGAAAACATGAGGGAAGATTGAAAAAATTGGGTTTGTTTAGTCTGAAAAAGAGAAGACAGAGGGGACATGATAACAGTTTTTAAGTACATGAAAGGTTGTTACAAGGAGGGGGGGGGGATTTTTTTCTTCTTAACCTCTGAAGATAGGACAAGAAGCAATGGGCTTAAATTGCAGCAATTGTGGTTTAGGTTGGACATTAGGAAAAACTTCCTAACTGTCAGGGTGGTTAAGCACTGGAATAAATTGCCTAGGGAGGTTGTGGAATCTCCATCACTGAAGATTTTTAAGAGCAGGTTAGACAAACACCTGTCAGGAATGGTCTAGATAATAGCTAGTCCTGCCATGACTGCAGGGGACTGGACTAGATGACATCTCAATGTCCCTTCAAGTCCTAGGAGTCTATGATTCTATGAATTCATGTCTAATTTAGAATAATCAGATCCTCAGTATTTTCTCTCTTCAGTATCCAACTCATTCTGTTCATGTGTCTTTCTAATATGCTCATCCCCATATTACCTAGATATGGCACCATAGCATTGTTCTGTGTCTTGTATGACACCAACAATGCTATTGGTACTTAAATATTACTAATCATGATTTAAGTGGTTCAGAAAAAAAATACAACCTCCCTCTTTATCACAAGCCACTTTTTGGTTTTAAGACCCAAAGAATGTCTTTCCCCCCCACCTAACCTGTGATATTTCCTCCACCCCCTGTTGGCACAACGATTTCCACAGTTGGCAGTGGAGTCATGTCCATGAATGGAGTGCACTGAAAGTAAGCATGGAAGTAGTGAGCGATCTGCACCATAATCCTAGACCAGTTCATTGAGTTCAAGCTCATCAGATTGTGTTTTCTAGAGAGATCTGCATCAGCGAACAATTCTTTGATCAGCTCGTCAATTTCATCGCAATTTCCATGAGCTGTGAAAAAGAGAAAGGAACAATCAGGAGTATTAACTGAAGTGTTGCTGAAATTAGTGAATTAGGCATAAAATAGTTGTTTTCACCTACCGAACAGGATTCAAGACTGATATGTTATTCTAGCCATCAAACTGGATTTGTGGAGGTGGGGTTAGCACACATATAGAGGTCCAACAGAAATATTTGGATCCAGGTGTGGGTTCCGATTCTGAATTACTCAGAATTCCCAACTTTTAAGGGTGTTTGGATCTGGGATTTTGGTTTGGGCCCATCTATAGGTTATTCCAAGGTCATAAAATGAACCAGCGGCAGAGTCAGGACTTGAACCAATGTCTTATGGCTCCCAATTCTTTTCAGTAACTCAGAGCGCTGCCTGGCCAAAAGGGAGTCATGGTAGGGCCCTACAAAATTAATGGTCCATTCTGGTCAATTTCACGGCCATAGGATATGAAAATTGGTCAATTTCATGTTTTCAGATGTTTATATCTGTAATTTCATGTGTTGTAACCTTGGGGGTCCTGACTCAAAAGGGGGTGTGTGGAGGGTCACAAAGCTGTTGTAGGGGGGTTGTTGAATTGCCACCCTCACTTCTGTGCTGCTTTCAGAGCTGGACTTGAAGGCAGCAGCCCCAGAAGGTTCCTGGAGGTGGACGTGGGTTTGATCTTCTTCAGGTCTGGGAAACCTATTCAGACCTGAAGAAAAGCTCTGTGTAAACACGAAAGCTTTTCTCTCGCACCAGCTGAAGTTGGTCCAATAAAAGGTATTACCTCACTCACCTTGTCTCTCTAATATCCTGGGACTCACATGACTACAACAATAGTGCATACAAGCCATGCTAATTGATGGCCCAACATGGTACACCCACAGCGGGACCAGTTTGTAACACAATTCCCACGAGGCTTTCTAGAATTAATGGCCAGTTCACATTGGGATTGACATTAACATCAACCCGGCAATAGTATGAAGTAGATCATCCAACAAAATGCAAACCAGTAAACACGTGGACGTTCTCTTCGATCACCGTTGTCATCTGCAGTTCTTGGATCTGGCTGCAGAGATCTTTGGGTAATAGAACAAAGATATCCATGTTGTTTTCCCCTCGCACACTTTCAATTGCCGAGCTACCGGTGTCTCCCGAAGTTCCTGTTTCACATGAAAATAATCAAGGACAATGTAGGAATATTAAAGAAGGTACTAACAGTGATTCCCCCAAGTGACAGTGACCCCCTCATAATTTGTCCCCCACACTTTAAAATCCAACAGTTTCACCAAGTACAAAAATCTCTTGGGTCTTCTGTTAAAACTTGTAAGCTACTGTCTGTAGAAACCATTGATTGTATCTATCCTGTGAAAGATACTTTATTACTACGTAAAACTTACAAACAAGTTAATTGACTTTGTTCTTGAAGTAATTGGTACAATGTAAACAAACACTATAAGCCGTTAAGTGACTTTCACTTCATTGTAATAGCAAGGGCAGACCCCCACCCTCTGTGATTATAGGGCCGGGAGTCTCAAATGAATTAGCACACACCCCGAAAGTGGTGGAGACAGTAAATTAAAATATGGTTAAGATATGGAATGTATGCTGATGAATGCTTGATATACATGAATGGTTAGGGAGGTGCCAGCCTAGAAAGGGAGTATCCATCGGCCGAAGAATGTGTCAAGTGGATGACCAGACAACCCCCGGAGGGTAAACTGGGATCCACCCCATCACCTGGAAGGATGAGAAACACAAACTTTGGATAGTTTGGAGCCACCAGGAATGTGCCCAGGAATGTGCCCAGGAATGTGCCATCTGCTGATTGAGTCAGCAACAGCAGAATGAAACAGCTCCCATAGACTAACATAGGAATTAATTCCTATAAGAATGGACTCTCAAGACTGATAACGCTGAGTCTCTGGTTCTGCTGCCAACCTCCAGGAGCATCAGGTGCATCTGACACAGACTCGGCTCCATCCTCATGACCAAGATACCTGGCCAGTAACTTGGCATGAGCAACTTCTAGGCTGGTAACTATAACACCTATACAGAACTTAAATGAATGATTGTGTGAATGAATCTATCTATCTATATATGTGTGTGTGTGTGTAAGGAATAAGTAGTGATAGGAATAAAGTAGTCAAACAACGTTGTTTACTTTTATCTTTTGCTTTACCATTATATTTACAATAAATGTGGCATCTTTGCCTTATCCCTCTTAATAAGATCCTGCTGGTTTTTATTCTATTGGTATAACAACAAAATAATTGTATCTACTAATTAAGAGTTAAAGACTGAAAGATCAGCCACATTTGTTTTCACACAGAAGGGTGCACTTGTCAGTCCGGATTATTTTTGGTTAGTGCCAGGTGTACGGCATTTAATACTGGAAAATGAGCACTTCCCAATAGGCAAGTGTCTGCATCACAAACCACTATCAGCAGAGACACCAAGGAGGCTGAACCAGTAAAGATGCCCTCTAGGTCAAGTGAGGCATACTGACCACCCTGTTCTGGAGATAACTAGGATGTTAACCTCCAGGGTTATCAATCCAGTTTCACTCATAAGCACCAATAGGAGGGGTGTGTGTATATATAGTATATAGCCCAGTGCTGTGGACCCACATAATGACCTTTGCACCATTTTGGTAGCCGCTGCACCGGGATAAATTCCGAGTACATTGCTTGCATCCATCTGTTTAGCTGTAACCTACCAACTAGAATAGTGATGTGCTTCTTCCTTTTCTTCAGGAAATACTGTAAAAACTGTCCTGTGCAGGACAAGGACAAGTCCTTAAAGGCATAAGTTACACCATGCCAGAGCTCCAAAACATTCAACCCATTCTTCAGCCTGGCCAGATGCACAACATTTTTGTGTCTGAACCTCCGGAAGGCGCGGTCAATCAGATCTGGAGGGAAGAAGTTGAAGGAGACTGTTAGAATAGGTACCAGGAATAAACCTCTAACACATCACCTACATGATCATGGTTTGCCAAGCCCGTGAGAATCTTTACTGAAAAACCAAAGACTCTCCAGTACCGCAGAGCTAAGGAAGTGATAGACAGAAGCCCAAGACATTATTCTCTTACAAATTAAGAGTCTGATCCTCAGTGTAAATTGAACAGGTCCACTGACTTTAACAGAGCCATGCTGATTTATACCAGTTGAGGGTCTGACCCAGTCAGATCTATTTTTACAATTAAAACAAGAATCAACCAATGTTGCAATGAACAGGCTCAGGTGGATGGTCCCCACTGCCCTCTAATGGACACAGTGGCCTGGTCTACACTTGGTGGGGAGTTAGGGGGGGATTGACCTAGGATACACAACTTCAGCTAGGAGAATAGCATAGCTGAAGTCGACGTATCTTAGTTCGACTTACCTCGCGGCACAGGGTCGATTGCCGTGGCTCACCCATCAACTTTGCTTCCGCCTCTCGCTGAGCTGGAGTTCAGCAGTCGACGGGAGAGCAATCGGGAATCGATTTATCGAGTCTACACTACACGCAATAAATCGATCCCGGATAGATCGATCGCTATAGACATACCCAGTGGCTTTGGTTAGGTGCTATATTAGAATCTAACTGTATAAACAGAACTGCGCAACTGTCTGTCAGAGGCCATTTACGGCTGACAGCTAAGGAGATGCTGCTTTTACAGCAGGAGAATCCAAACTCTTTCCCCACTGTTGGAGAGAAATTTGAGCATCCATGGAGTGCACCACAGTGACAACTCTGAAGCACCACGAGGCCACCGATTTGTTACAAGGTGTCTTTACCAAAACCTACACCTGACTTCATGTTACATGCTTGTTTTGTGATCCATTTTGCCAGGGGAAAATATAGAACCAGGAACACCTGGCAGAAGGAGGAATCAATTTGCCACATTTGCTTTTACATCTGTTTACAAATATGTGTTAATTAAAACAGTCTGGACCAAATTCTGACACGGTGCTACCCAAAGGCAAAGAAAAACCACACACACAGCAAGAAAGGAAATTTCCTCCTTAATCCTGTCTACACCAATCAAAAGCCACATAGGGTTCCACAGGTCTTCTATGATAGGAGCCACAAAGGTGACAGAGCCTGCTTATCTTTTCCATGTACACCCTCTGATACACCAAAGGTCTCATCTGATACGCTCCCATGTTCCTAGAAGGCATCTTCTACATGGAATAGCCATGTGGGCAGGGGCTGCTGCAGCCAGCATAAAGATGCCCAATACCACCGATTTTGCAACATTATACATACTATATTTGCACCCACTTGCAGCAGAGATCTGCCTTCCTACAGCAACCTGGGAAACTGCATTAGCCCTTCAAGAGAATGACATTTATAGACAGAGACAGAATTTGGCCCTGTGTTTGTTTAAAGAGAATCTTCTGCTAGTCTTCAGAAGAGGAGCAGATCTCCAACAATCTAGTTTAACCACAAGACACACCAAGTGGATGAAACAATTGGGGAAGGTAAAGGACAGGGTAACATTATAATAACCATGGAGATTCTGGCCACTAAGGGCCTTCATAGGTCCAGTGAGGATCAGGGTTATTAGGCTGATGGGTTAATAGAGGGTAAAATAATAGTGTAATCTAAGAGCTTTGATACAAATAGCGTGAACCCTACAGCAGGCTGCTTGGATTGCTGTCTAGTTTGCGTTTACCATTCAGCTCTTTCCGTGGGATTAGTTCAGACGAGATGAAGAGTGAACTCAGCTCTTTCACCAGCTCTGGATAGGAGAAGGCACTCCATGTGCGCAGGGTGTTATAGTCCAGGGTAGGGATTTCCTGGGGCATGAAAAGGCCACCATCCGGCGCATAGCCAGAAAAGAGGGCTCCTTCAAAGTCAACGCTCCTGGCTTCTCCTCGAGTGCTGATGTACCTCATGTTTCCAGCGTCGCTGCAAGAGACGTGACAGTTACACCAGGGTGCCCAGGGGGAGAAGTCTGGGGTATCACATGACAGGGAGACAGACAGACAGGTGTCCTGTGGATGCTGCTGTGCCCTTTACTATCGGTGTCATGGAAACTGGGAACAAGACTGGCTTCAAGACTGATTCATCAAGACAGCTAGTGCTCTGAAAGTGCAATGGGGTATTCTCAGGCCAGGACTCTCTGAGGAGATTAGAGGGACCCTGCATGTTCCATGAGGACTGGGAGATTTATTTGGGGGAAGGAGAGAACTTATTTCTCTATAGAAACACTTCTTTTGGTATTGCTCCTGCCCACAAAATACCACTGCAGCTCCTACTGAAGCCAGAGGGAGCTGTGCTGGCTCAGCATTTTGAGAATTAGGCCCTTAACTTTATCCTGAGAATTTAGGCCTATATAACTTTAGCACAGCCAAAACAGAAGATGGCACCACACCAGAGACCTGGGCGAGGGGCTGCCTAGTAAGTAAAGTTCACAAGCCAGTGGAAACCAACTGGATCGGAGAGACCCTGCTTACAGCATACCAGGGGAACACATTAGCACTGTAAGAGAGGGACACTGAAACATAGCTCCTTCCAAAAATGATGCTAGCACAAGGTCTAGGCCCACTGTCTGAAGTCAATGGCTGGATTCCCACTGAATGCAATAGGAAGAGAATTCAATAGCTTTTCTAAAAGATCCGCTGTAGGAATTATTTGGGGCAAGTTCTCTGGCCTGTGCTATGCAGGAAGTCAGACTAGATAATCATAATGGTCCCTTTTGGCCTTGGAATGTATTAGAAATGTAAAACATTAACCGGGAAGTATTAGGCCCGCCGACTCCAGCAGCCCTGCACCGGCTGGCCCATCGACCGGCCAACCCCAGCCCCAGCCGTGCCGGCTGGAGCAACCCCAGCCCCTCTCCCTTTATTCGGTTAACCATTTAAACAATATAATTGTAATTGTTTAAACTGTTAACTTTTTAAATGATATTTTACATCCCTAGAATGCGTGAATGGCTCAGAATCTCAGCTTTCATTGGAAAATCAAAGTTTTTTAGCCATCATGTTTGTGGATTAAAACTGGAAAATGTGAACACTAAAGACTTTAAAAACACAGTACATAAAAAGAGCCTAAACTCATTATTTTTAAAACTTGCATGATTTTTCAAGAGGCCTGAATCATGATATTTCAATGTTGGGGGGGTGACAACATTGTATACAGTATTAGGGCACGTCTTCACTACCCGCCGGATTGGCGGGTAGCAATCGATCTATTGGGGATCGACTTATCGCGTCTAGTGAAGACGCGATAAAATCGATCCCTGATCGCTCTGCCGTCGACTCCGAAAATCCACCGCGGCAAGAGGCGGAAACGGAGTCGACGGCGGCGCGGCAGCGGTCGACTCACCGCCGTCCTCCCAGCCAGGTAAGTCGACCTAAAATACGCAACTTCCGCTACGCTATTCACGTAGCTGAAGTTGCGTATCTTAGGTCGACCCCCCCCCCCAGTGTAGACCTAGGGTTAGACTGTAAGCAATTGGGTGCAGGGACCATCTTTTTATCCCGCGTCTGTACAGCACCTAACACAATGGGTCCATGATTGGGGCTCCTAGGTACATCACTGCAATACAACTAATAAATCATCATAGAGTGTAGGAAAACCGATGGCTTTCCGATTCAGGCATGCAGCATTGGAATAAGGAGGTGCCCCCGCACCACCCGGAAAGCTCTCAGACAGAGCAGGGTGAGATTTTTCAGTGAAACTTTTTTGTGTGTGCCCAAAAATACAGATTTGGGTCGACCAGAACGTTTCCAAATTTGTGTTACATTCACCAGATTGATTCAATCCGGAGGAAATTCTGGCACTGGATTTTTTTATTCAAAACTACGTTTTATTTCAAAATATCCTTCAATTTGATTTGAAAAAAAAACCCAGCTGGAGAATACAACCTGCTGGAGGGCCCCAGAATGAGCCTGGCCCGGGAACCGAACCATCAATTCGTTCTGCCAACTCTGTTATGCCAGCAGGGGGGGCGCTCGCCCGTGCCATGTTTGTTTGCAGCTTTGGGGCAGCGGTTTGCAACCTGTCCAAGCCAGCAGCAGCCGCCCCGCACAATGCAAAGCTTCTGCCAGGGGGAGCGTCTGCCAGCCCCAGCCGCGGAAAACCCACCGCTGTGCAAATCAGAGCTAGTCCCCGCGCGGCTCTGCAGACACTCAAGCGCCGAGAGCCGCTGGCCCCAGCAGGAGGCGGGCTGTGGGGTGCAGGAGCCCAGGCAAATACCGCCCCCACTCCCGGGCGGTCAGTTACCGGCTTCAGCCCCTTAGAGCTTTGGAAACTGGCAGCTGATCCGGCCCATCCCGCAGAGTGTGAGCGGGGAAGGCGAGCCCTGCCCCAGCAGCAGAAAGCAATGCCCGCTCTCCCCCGAGCAGGGTCAAACCAGCCCCATAGAGCCGTCCTTGCCCTGCCCAAAGCGGCTGGGGTTTACTTACTAATTAGCAATGCACAAGCCGACTAGACTCCGGAATAGAGCTTAAGGGAGCTTTGCTTTATTTCCCAGACAGCAAGCCAGCCTTGGCCTGTGTGCTCCCTGAAAACACTCCCCACTCCAACTCACATTGGGACTGCAGGTTCCTCTGTAAATAGGACTCCGGTTGTAAGTCAAAAATAGGCATAAAGGATCTTTGCAGTTTCATCCGTCCATAGATAGCTGGATTCGTTACAGACAATAATGAATAAAGCTACACATTCCCCCTGGGAGGTAGGTAAACAACTAAAATCCACATTGTATAGATGGGGAAACCGAGGCACAGAGTGGTTATGTGACTTGCCCAAAGTCAGACAACAAGCTAGTGGCAGCGTCAGGGCTAAAACCCAGATTTCCTAGGGCCAATTCCTCTGTCTTAACCACAAGACAACCTTCCTCTCTTTCTAGCTTCTTTTTCTCGCATCAGTTTATAAAGGTTTGTTTTTACATGGCTGTATTTTGGGGACAAGGTGAGTACAGAACGGATGCTTCAGTGCTACAAAGTGAGCTGCACACTGGATATTTGGAAAAATGCACTCCCAAGTCTTACAGGACTTTTCCTCTGTGTGTATGTATGTATGCGCGCGGACCAGGGAGAGACACAGAGAGATAATTATTGACTTGCAAATTGTTCTGACAATCTTCATGTAAAGTGCTCAGATACTACAGCAAGGTGCATGGCATAAAAATCTCCATGGATAAATAAATGTGTATAATCACATCTCCCAGCGAGCTATGAATGTGCCTGGCGCAAATAGTGTGGGGCTTACTTGGCCACCACTATCAGAAGTCTTTATACCTTAGCTGTTACCTAGGGGCAGGAATCTTGTCTATGTTTGGTCAAGTGCTCTGACATATTTGTAACTAAGGGAATCCATATGTCTTGAATAGGTAGATCATAAACTCTGCATAAGGAAATGAGTTGTGCTACACACAGTATTTATTTATCTTATGTTCAGCTGTCATACAGGAATAACTGAAACAGGGACATCCTTGGTACATACAAAGACAGCTCTTGATCAACCAAGATTTCACCTGAGAGAATCTCATACCATCTATTCGCAAGAGCTCATAGAGTTGACTGTAGAAACCATTTTACATATAGTTGACCTTTTAGGCTAAGATTCAGTGTAGGTGGCCATGAACTCCACCATCCATGGAACCAACAGCCAACTGCGACCGGACATTGTCATCACCAATAAGAACCAAAAGAAGATCGTCACAGTGGATGTCATAGTGCCCTTCGAGAACAGGACCCTGGCTTTCCACAAAGCTCGAGCTTGAAAGGTGGAGAAATACGCCCCTCTGGCCGACACCTTGAGAGCTAGGAGTTACCAGGTTCAAACTCACATTCTGTGATCGCCAGAGCCCTGAGCACATAGGACCCCTGCAACAAGCGAGTGTTGCGGGAATGCAGAATTGGTCAGCGCTACACTCAGCTGATGCGGCAACTCATGGTGTTGGATGCCATCAGGTAGTCCCGGGACATCGACCTAGAACACATCACCGGACATCGACAATACCAGCAGAGATGAGCTGGAGTGCCGATGAGAAGCGCAGTCAGGAAAGTAACTGGAATACTTCCCTGATGGATTGTATTTTCTAACGGACAACCTATCCTAAATTCTCAATTACTAAGGGACAATCTTCACTCATTGCTATATTTGCTTTCTACAACCAACTCTCTGTTTAACTTTTCATGAGTGATGTACCTGGATATTTGGATGCTAATATCTAAACTGCATTGTTAAATTTATTGACCTTCATTTGGGATATTGCAGATTATGTACTATATGTATTCTATGACTTTTAAGACAAACTTTGTACTTTTGCATAATTTAAGCATTATACCCATATGTACAGACACACTTTCCTTAAACCTGTGAATTATATAATTTTAGCATTAGCTTTAATAAAAAATTTTAAATCAGTTTAGCATGTTATATGTCCTCTGTCTATGACTCTGTGCTTCCCTGATTGGTAGGGTGACCAGATGTCCCGATTTTATAGGGGCAGTCCCGATTTTGGGGTCTTTTTCTTATACAGGCTCCTATTACCCCTCACCCCGTCCCGATTTTTCACGTTTGCTGCCTGGTCACCTTACTGATTGGTCTTAACAGAGAGTTTCCACCTCTAATTTCTATTATTCTATGTTTTTGAGAAAAATACTCACTCTTTTCTATAGGATCAAGAATCAGGATAATGCCACGTTGCTGTGAGCAGCACATGGCTGATCAGTGTCACCATATATCAGCCCAAGTACTGTTATGGCACCTAATGGGACTTCGACCCAGAAAAATCAGATCCAAAGGTACAGAGCAATGCTGATAACAACTACAATTGAGTCTAAAGCCTCAGTCCTGCAAACACATATGCATGTACTTCATTTATGCACATGAGTAAAGTTCAGCACATGCACAAAAGTTTGCAGGATTAGAACCTAAAAGAGCATCAGGGTTCATCT